TGGTGGACAGCAGGTTGACCATGAGCCAGCATTGTGTCCTTATGGCCAGGAAGACCAAGAGTATGCTTGGGTGCATTAAAAAGAACGTGGCCAGCAGGTCAAGGGAGGTTCTCCTCCCCCTCTGCTCTGCCATGGTGAGGCCACATCTGGAGTACTGTGTCCACTTCTGGGCTCCTCAGTTCAAGAGGGACAGGGATCTTCTAGAGAGAGTCCAGAGGAGGCCACAGATGATGAGGGGCCTGGAGCACCTCCCATATGAGGGGAGGCTGAGAGAGCTGGGACTCTTCAGCCTGCAGAAGAGAAGACTGAGAGGGGATCTGATCAATGTCTATAAATATCTGAAGTGTGGGGGCCAAATGGATGGGGCCAGGCTTTTTTCAGTAGTACCCAGTGACAGGACAAGGGGCAAAAACCAGAACAGCAAAAGTTCCAGACAAACTTAAGGAAAAACTTCTTTATTGTGAGGGTGACAGAGCACTGGAACAGGCTGCCCAGAGAGGTTGTGGAGTCTCCTTCTCTGGAGATGTTCAAAACCCGCCTGGACACTTTCCTGTGCAACCTGCTGTAGGGAACTTGCTTTGGCAGGGAGGTTGGACTAGATGATCTCCTGAGGTCCCTTCCAACCCCCACCATTCTGTGATTCTGTGTGATTCTGTGATTCACTTGCAGTATTGGGCAAACTAAGCACCGAACAGAAGACACCCAAGTGGGTTTCACGTTAGTGTAGGCAGAGCTTTCATATACCAGATTTTTCTGTGCAAGTTATGATTAAATGCAGCATATCAGACAGAACACTTGTATACTAAAGAATGACCCAAGATCATGAGAAGTTTTACAAGAAGTAAGAACTGCAACTAGTTAACCTTCATGTCATGCAAGCTCTCTGCTTTGAAAGTCATATTTTCAAAGATACTACGAGTGATATAGATCAATTCAAACTGAATTTCAAAACAAGTTAGTGTGAAATTTTAAAGAGACTAATGAACAGGGGACCTGCTCTGACATCTGTTACTAAACTCACAGTCACTGGGTAAGAGAGGAGAGAAGGGAGAGAAAGGAGACCTAATCAATAATACTCCTTGTAAGATACCTTTACCTCTGTGATGGGGGATTTAGGATTCATATTCCTAGCTGCTGCAATCTCCTGCAGTTGATTCACAAGTTCAGTGATTGACAATCTCTCCTCTGGGTTCACCTTCAAAGTGGAGCCTAAAAAAGGAGATTCAGACAACATAACGGAAAGCTTTCAGAGCTTTTCTCCCAGCAGAGATTAGTAGTTTCTTCACTGCACTCCAGTGCAACAAGCAACCAAACTCATGAACATAGTGGAGCAACTGCTAAATCCACATCCAAGTATCACTGTCGTAACAAGTACCCATGACAGAACACCATTTGTGGTTAAGAATATTTCAAAGAATATATTTTAGGGCCAGTTTATGAATAACCTCAGAAGTAACTTTAAATCTAATAGTATTGGAGTTGGAGACATACTTCTGACATTGTAATTAAAGTTTCCAGTAACCAATTTGAAATTTAAAGAAACAGAATTTCTAAAGCAAGTTCAAAGACACCAAATGAAAACACTAGTAGTTCCTTTGGACTAAATCTGATCCTAAGCAAGTCAAGCAACAACACTAAAAAACAAAGTTTCACTTAAAATTTCCAAGTTTTTTTGATAATGGATTAAAATTTTTAATAAAACAAAAAGTTGTTGGAGTTAATTTCTTTTACCATCACGTCACTAATATTTAATTACCAGTAACATAACGCTGTCATCCATAAAGACATCAAATTAAGTAACACTGTAAACTTACGAATGAGATCGTGAAACACAGAATAGCAGGTGTCATTTTGTGGGATGACATATTTCCCATTGACTATGCGAAGTTTAGCTCCATCTTCAAATGGATGTTGCCTGAAGCACAGCAAGTACAGGATACAGCCCAGAGCCTACACAGAGATAAAGGCAGAAATATTTCATAGAATAATGGAATCATTTAGGCTGGAAAAAACCTTTAAGACTGAGTCAACAGCACACCTAACACTGTCAAGTCCACCACTTGATGTTCGTCTGAGGACCAAACACTTAGTGAAATACTCAATTTTTTGGCATGTTGGTTATAGAGCTCTAGGCTGCAACACTGCCACTAAGTATGTTTGTGGCTTTTTTTCTCCTTTCGTGGAATTTTTCAGATTCAGGGATTCTCCTACTCTTGTCTTTTTAAAAATCATTACAACAAATCCATTTCATTAATTTCACAGTATACAAAAATGAGTTGTCTTGCAACAATGAAGATGTTCAAGAACAGTTTTTTCTTACAACAAGGCTCAGAGGTTTTATTTTGTATCTTCATCCTGTGCTTCAAAAAGACTCATTTAACTGTGGGGATAGAATTTGGTCCTTTGTATTTCTAACTCAGGCATACGCTGTTATGCAATGCACCAGCTAGGTAAGCATTTGAGTGTTAATCAATTTATTTAAATAACACTAGGGAGGCACATCATCATCTCTAAAACACTTGTAAACTAAAGATTTGAAGAGAATAAGCCTGAAATTACAGTCATTTTATTTCCTACAATTAGAAGGTTATTCAATTCTTAAAACAAGTGACATTTAAGACAATTTTCAGACAGGTTTACTTAAGCCTCCAAAATCACAAAACTGGGACTATCACATCCTGGGAACTTTCAAGTTCCTTGGTGTGCCCAAACCTGAGACCTGTGCAACCTGACAAGGGAACAATCACCAAAGCCAGAAGTCAGTTTTGAATTCTAATCTCTGAATAGTCCAGATGTTACGTCAGAAAATAACATTAATTCAGAAAAAATGGAACTACGGGTGTTTAGTTTAGCGTTTATTTTCTGAAGATTTCTAGACTTAGTTTGGAAAGACACAGAAAGCAGTTCCCCAAGTCCAAGAACCTCTGATCTTACAATCCAAATCTTAGCACATTCCCATTGTGTAGTCTGTGGTTGATAACTAATGTTTCATCTATGCTGCTGTTCTAAGCAAGACCTTTCTATCTCCTTTATACTTTTAAGCTCACACAGTTACAAGCACACAGACAACAACCATGAGTGTTACTCACCCTACCTGCTTTCTTGGGAAAAATGTTTTGTTTATCCTAACCACAAACTACAAGATCATGCTTCCTGAGACAGTGCTGTATACTACTGCCAAATACTTTGCATGTTTTCATTAAAGCCAGAGTGTAAAGGGAAAAAAAAACCAACAACAAAACAAACATGTTCCAACAAAGGCATGGTAAGCAGGGCAAATATTCCAAAGACACAGCAAGAGAGAACCACCATGTTAATACTAATGGACATAGAGTTATTCTAAACAAAAAATAAATTGCAACTGCCTTTTGTTAAATGCCTTTCTAGGTCTGTGTTTAACTAGAAGTAATCTTGGCTCAGACTGCTAGTATTTAATGAATGTGAAGAGATGAAATGCTCAGAAGAATGTATTTTTCTTGGTATTTTTTCACATGCCAGAAGGAAGTTGCCAACAGCTGTACAAGCTGAGCAACAGATTCCACAGTATCTTGTAACTAATTTAAGAAACTGAATGAAGTTCTGAGATTCCAAATAAAAACTTTAAAAGCACTAGTAATACATTTTCTCAATTTGCCTTTTGACACACTGCAAATACAGAAAATAGTTGAAGAGAATGACATCCGCCACTGTAAAAAACATTCAATAACCTATGTCCCTAAGCACAAAGTCAATGGGCAGTACCTCAGTACTATTACAGTATGATACAACTGAAAAAGAGACAACTGAGGGTTAATATTTGCCTTTAATTCTGGCTACAGATTTTTTGATGAATGTTATAGAATCATAGAATGGTTTGGGTTGGAAGGAACCTTAAAGATAATCTGGTTACAACCCCCCTGTCATCAGCAGGGACACCCCCTGCTAGACCAGGTTGCTCAAAGCCTCACCCAACCTGGCCTTCAACACTTCCAGGGAGAGGTCATCCACAGCTTCTCTGGACAACCTGTTCCAGTGTCTGACCACCCTCACAGGAAAGAATTTCTTCCTAATATCTCATCTAAACCTCCCCTCTTTCAGCTTAAAGCCATTTCCCCTTGTTCTGTCACTACCTGTCCTTGTAAAAAGTCCCTCCCCAGCTTTCCTGTAGCCCCTTCAGGTACTGGAAGGCCGCTATAAGATCTCCCCGGAGCCTTCTCTTCTCCAGCCTGAACAGCCCCAACTCTCTCAGCCTGTCCTCGTAGGAGAGGTGCTCCAGCCCTCGGATCATCCTGGTGGCTTCCTCTGGACTTGTTGTAGCTGCTCCATGTCTCTCTTGTGATAGGGGCTCCAGAACTGGACTCAGTACTCCAGGTGGGGCCTTACGAGAGCGGAGTAGAGAGGGAGAATCACCTCCCTCGACCTGCTGGACACGCTTCTCTTGATGCAGCCCAGGATACGGTTATTGGCCTTCTGGGCTGCAAGCGCACAGTGCCGGCTCATTTTGAGGTTCTTGTCTGCCAGTACCCCCAAGTCCTTCTCCTCAGGACTGCTCTCAATGCATTCTCTACCCAGCCTGCACCGACCCAGGTGCAGGACCTTGCACTTGGCCTTGGTGAACTTCATGAGGTTAGCACAGGCCCACCTCTCAAGGGATCTTCCCTCCAGCACACTGACTGAACCGCACAGCTTGGTGTGGTCGGCAAACTTGCTAAGGGTGCACTCAATCCCACTGTCCATATCACTGACAAAGATGTTTAACAGCACCAGTCCCAATATCGGCCCCTGAGGGACACCACTCGTCACCAGTCTCCACTTAGATATCAAGCCATTGTCTGCAACTCTGAGTGCAGCCATCCAGCCAATTCCTTATCCACCAAGTGGTCCATCCATCTAGTCCATGCCTCTCCAACTTAAGAGACAAGGATGTCATGTGGGACAGTGTCAAGTGCCTTGCACAAGGCATGTTAACAGTTAACATCCTTTCTATACAAGCCATGAATGACATCTGCATTGTTCTCATCCTTGCTATCTGTCAGTATTTCATCTAGATGCAATACCTAGACATAACCATTTTTAACACAGCATTAGGCTGTCCCAGGATTACATGTACTGCACAGCATGAAAGGCAAGAATTTGAATCTAAGGACTTTATTCTGGTTGTATGGTGGCAAGCTCAAACTAGGCAACACTTCTACTGAATGTCCAAAAAGTTCAGAATTGCCTCTCGGTAGAAATTAAGCTAGATCTGGGATAACACCTCAAGTACTACATCTCATTCTTTTAATATTTAGATACACAGTTCATACTATTTAAGTTTATTTTGACATAAGACAGTCTACTCTATGTTTATTTTGGTGCTTTTATTTATTTCATCAACAAATTAACATGAAGACTGCAAAATCAATTTCAATACATCATAAGCAGCCTAAACAAGAGAAAAATTTCTTACCCAAATGTCCTGTTTTTCACCAATTGGAAAATTTGAATACAAATCTATCATTTCTGGTGTCCTGTACATTGGCGTTGTATTCCTTGTGATCTGCAGAAGACAGAATTTCTTGAAAAAAAAAAACCTTGAATCAATAAGCTCTAACAGCATTCAACCATGGAAACAGCTCTCCATGTAGAATGAATAGCATTCTCACTTTGAAAATTAATTTCGGAAATGCTTGTCAAGGCACAAGCCATCAGTCGAATCCTGCAATAGTTACAACAGCTTTGATACAAGGCCAAATAAAGTTGCTAGTACTCAAATAAGTAATATTGTGGCATTCAAGAGTCCTTCCAAACTGCAAAGCATATGCAATAAAATCACTCTTCTACATGAGGCAAAAACAGGTATGACAACAAATCAGAAAATCAGCAATAACCCAAGAAGTGAATTCATGCTCCAGTGTGTAGTTCTCACTTTATCGCACTTAATGACAGTGCAGACACATCCGAAGAGTCAAGCTATGTTCACAAGGATCTCTGAAAAAACCTTTTCTATGATCTTTTTGCATAGACCTAATAAAAGACAGCAGTACATCATCATCTTTTCTGCTCCAGAAACCAATCGATTGCTCTCCAAGAATGCTGGATTTCAAAGAAGGGGGAGTTTATAGACTCATGATATCAGACCCTGCATACATTAAGTGTCACTATATTTCTTCATACTTAAAAGTCTGAATCCAGTTGATGTATTAAATTCATCAGCATTACTCTTAACTCTAAACTGAGAACAAATGCACTTTGTAAAAACACACTGCATGCTTAACACCATCGCTGTAATCCTAAAGGCACTACAATTAAAATTCAGCTGAGCAGACTTGCTGTTTCTTTATATATCATTCAACTGAGAAAAACAGATGAGAAGGTGGGAATCACTTTGGCATAACAAACATTTGACATCCCGTTAAGAGCACAATTAGAAGAAAGTCTAGTAATCACTTCTATTTTCACACTGGATTGCAGAATGGACACTGCTCAAATGGAAGTTGTGTTTGTATATGCAGCTGCAGAACACAAGCTATGATTACAACTGTAGACAGCGTTTGAACTCTGGCAACAAAAATACAAAACCAAAGCTTTACGAACAATGCTACAACTGCAACAATCTCCAGTTGTCTTAGAAGTCCCATGAATCTATAACAGATTAACAGTAAGTTAAATGAATCCACTGTTGATATTACGATTAATCACATTAAAATAGTCTCACCTCTTCTTCAACCAGTGCTCTTTTCTGTGCAGACCAGTTGTAGTCAGGATAGTAAGCTATAGTTGTAGCACTACCGAAGTCACAAAGTTTAATCGTCCCCTGGTTACTAATAAGCAAGTTCTCCACCTTCAGAAAGAATCATAATAATAAAGATTTATTTTTCTGTACACTAATGCACATGCTTTTAAACATAAACTTGCTTGTGCACATATATAAAAACACTCACTTTATCCCAGAATGTTGTTTACAGGAGCACAAAGATTTCAGACAGTACTGTAGATGTATACGTTAGCAATACAGCAATTTTTTAAAAGGAAGCACCAAAACCACAATGACCAGGAAACATTC